CTCACCATCAAATTGGTATTAACTGATCAACACATAAGTGCACATATAAAAATAACATCTATTGGATGTCAGGCAGGGGGGAGGGGGAATGGGGGAGGAGGGGATGGGTATATGCATACACAAAGAGTGCGATGCACACCGTCTGGGGGATGGACAGGCTTGAAGCTTGGACTTGGGGGGGGACGGGGGGCAAGGGCAACATATGTAACCTAAACATCTGTACCCCCATAATATCCTGAAATAAAAAAAAAAAGAATACAGTGGAGATAAATGAAACAGAGAATAGAAAACAATAAAGAAAATCAATAAAATGAAAAGTTGTTTCTTTTTTTTTTTTTGAGACAAAGTCTCACTCTGTTGCCTGGACTAGAGTGCCATGGCGTCAGCCTAGCTCACAGCAACCTCAAATTCCTGGGCTCAGGCGATCCTCCTGCCTCAGCCTCCCAAGTACCTGGGACTACAGGCATGCGCCACCATGCCTGGCTAATTTTTCTATATATATTTTTAAATTGTCCAGCTAATTTCTTTCTGTTTTTTTAATAGAGACGGGGTCTCGCTCTTGGTTAGGCTGATCTCGAACTCCTGAGCTCAAATGACCCGCCTCGGCCTCCCAGAGTGCTAGGATTACAGGTGTGAGCCACCACGCCCGGCCCCAAAGTTGTTTCTTTGAAAAAATCAACAAAATTGACAAACCCTAGCTAATGGACTAAGAAAAAATGAGAGAGGACTGAATTTACTAAAATCAGAAATGAAAGTGGGAACATTACTACCAATTTTACAAAAATATGAAGAATTACTAGAGAGTACAATGAACAATTATATGCCAAAAATTTGGATAACCTAGATGAAATGGACTAATACCTAGAAACACAAAACCTACTAAGACTAAATCACAAAGAAATAGAAAATATGAATAGACCTATAATTAGTAAGGAGATTGAATCAGTAATAAAAAAATCTCCCAACAAAGAAAAGCCTTGGACCTGATGGCTTCACTGGTGACTTCTACCAACCATTTATTTATTTATTATATTTTTACTTTTTTGAGATAGAGTCTCACTCTGTCACCCAGGCTGGAGTGCAGTGGCACAATCATAACTTGCTGTAGCCCCAAACTCCTGAGCTCGAACAATCCTCTCACCTCAGCCTCCCAAGTAGTTAGGACTACAGGCATGCACCACCATGTCCAGCTAATTTTTATTTATTTTTTTGGTAGAGACAGAGTCTCGCTATCTTGCACGGGCTGGTCTTGAACTCCTGGCCTCAAGCAATCCTCCTGCCTTTGCCTCCCACTCCCAACTATTTAAAGAAGAATTAACAGCAATCGTTCTGAAACTTTTCCAAAAAATCGAAGAGGAGGGAACACTTCCTAACTTATTCTATGTGGCCAGCATTACCCTGATCCCAAAACCAAAGATACCGTAAGAAAAGAAAACTACGGACCAATATCCCCTATGAAGATGGATGCAAAATCCTCAATCAAAATACTAGCAAACTGAATTCAGCAGCATATTAAAAGGATTATGCAGCTTGACCCAGTTGAATTTATTCCTGGAGTGCAAGAATGGTTCAACTTTCAAAATTTGACAAACGGAATATACCGCATTAACAAAATGAAGGGGAAAACCACATCCATAATCAATATAATTGATGCATAAAAAGCATTTTCTAAATTTCAACACGCTTTCATAATAAAAACACTCAACAAACTAGGATTACAAGGAAAAATACCTTAACAGAATAAAAGCCATATATGAAAAAACCCCACAGCCTACATCATACTCAATGATGAAAGACTAAAAGTTTTTCCTCTAAGATTAGGAACAAGGTAAGGATGCCCACTTTTGCCACTTACATTCAACTTAGTACTGGGAGTTTTAGCTAGTGATAGTAGGCAAGGAAAACAAATAAAAGACATCCAAATTAGAGAGGAAGAAGTAACATTATCTCTTCACAGATGATATGATCTTACACGTAGACTAATAAGTGAATTCAGCCCAAGTAGCAGGATACAAAGCCAACACATAAAAATAAGTTGCATTTTTATACACTAACAATGAACTATCTGAAAATGAAATTAAGAAAATTCTATTTACAGTAGCATCAAACAAAATAAAGTACTTAGGAATTAACTTAGCCAAGGAGGTGAATGACTTGAGCTGGGTGTCCAGGTTATCCAAGTATGCCCAGCTCTGAAGCACCAGAATGGAGGTCTGAGAACTTTGGAGGAACTATACTGACAGATGTTAAGAGAAAGGGAATTATTTACCCATGATGTTAGTCAAGACAACATAATCAGGGCCATCAACAAACTAAAAGCACTTGGCACTGGCTTCAGCATTATCCCTGTGGGTAGCACTTACCACATTTAGTCTGTTTCAGCTGAACCCAATATGGATCACACTGTACTGCTGTAGCTGGCAGAGAAAAATGGCTTCATGACTGTCAGTGAAATCAAAGCCAGTATTTAATGAGACAGGGCAAGCATGGAAAGTGCTGGAACACTTGCTGAAGGAAGAGCTGGCTGGACTTGTAGGCCCCAGGGGAGGCACACTACTGGCTGCCAACTCTCCTCATTGATATCCATTCCCAGGAGGTTACAGGCAAGGAAGCCAGAGAAGCCCTTCCCTGAGTGTGGGAGTATGGAATGGGGCATGGCAGCAGACAGTGAAGAGAGAGGAGCTACTGTTGAATAAAACTGGAACAATTTTGTTTTTTTAGCAATGAAAACATCAATTATAGAAACAGATCTAGAAATTATAATGGCGATGGAACTAACAAACAAGGATATTAAAGCAGCTAATATAAATATGTTCTATATGTTCCAGAAATAGAGGGAAACATGATCATAATGATGAGAGAATCATGATGACCAAAGATATAAGAAAGACCCAAATGAAACCTCTGATATGAAAAGTACAACATCTGGAATGGAAAATATACTAGATGGGATAAAAGCAGACGCTAAAGAAAAGATCAGTGAGCTAAAACAAATAGCAATAGACACTAACCAAGATGAAGCATAGAGAGAAAAAAGAATTTAAAAAAAGGAACAGAGCACAATTGATTGTATGGAACAATATTAAACAGACTGACATGTGTTTAATAGGATCCCAGAAGGAAAGAAGATAGATGAGAAGAGGTTCAGAAAAAATATTTAAAGAAAAAATGGCCACAAAATTTCCAAATTTGCTGAAAGCTATAAACACACGGATCTGAGAGGCTCAATGAATCCCAAGCAGATGAACCTAAAGAAAACAACACCAAGTCACTTCATAATGAAATTGCTGAAATCAATCAATAAAAGAAAATACAAAACGCATAGAAAAATGACATATTACTTACAGAAGAATAAATACAAGAATGACAGTAGATTTCTTATCAGAAACTATGCAAAACCAGAAGACACAAGAAAATATCTTTACAGTACAGGCAGACAAAAAACTGCCAACCTAAAGTTCTTTACCTGGCAAAATTATTATTTCAATATGAAGGCACAGTCCCTCACAAAATTAAAAATAGAATTACCTAATGACCCAGCAATTCCACTCTTACGTATATACCCAAAAGAATTGAAAATAAGGACTCAAACAGATACTTGTATGCCAATGTTCATAGCAGCATTATTCACAGTAGCCAAAAGATGGAAACAACCCAAGTCTCCATCAACAGATGAATGAATAAATAAAATGTGGTATATTAGTGAAACTTCAGAGTTTGGTAAAAAAACAACAAAATGTGTTATAGACATACAATAGAGTATTATTCACCCATACGAAGGGATGAAGTTCTGATACATTCTACATCATGGATGAACCTTGAAAACATTGTGTTAGGTCAAAAGAGCCAGACACAAAAGGACAAATAGAGTGTGAGTCCATTTACATACAATATCTAGAACAGGTGAAGTCATAGACAGAAAGTAGATTAGGTTACCAGGAGCTTGAGGGACGTTGTATGGGCAGTTGTTGCTTCATGGGGACAGAGTTTCAGTTTGGGATGATGAAAAAGTTTTGGAGCAAGATAGTAGTAATGTTTGTACAATACTGTCAATATAATTAATACCACTGAACTGTACACTTAAAAATGGTTAAAATGACAAATTTCATGTTACATATTTTTTCATCACAATTTTTTTTTTTGAGACAGAGTCTCACTGTGTTGCCTGGGCTAGAGTGAGTGCCGTGGCGTCAGCCTAGCTCACAGCAACCTCAAACTCCTGGGCTCAAGCGATCCTCCTGCCTCAGCCTCCCGAGTAGCTGGGACTACAGGCATGCGCCACCATGCCCGGCTAATTTTTTCTATATATTTTTAGTTGTCCAATTAATTTCTTTCTATTTTTAGTAGAGACGGGGTCTCGCTCTTGCTCAGGCTGGTCTCGAACTCCTGACCTTGAGCGATCCACCCGCCTCGGCCTCCCAGAGTGCTAGGATTACAGGTGTGAGCCACCGTGCCTGGCCATCTTTTTAAATGTTTTAACAGAGTGTTTTACTTTTCCTTATTTAGATCTTATACGTATTTTGTTAGATTTGTACCTAAATATTTCATTTTTGGATACCAATGTAAATGGTATTGTTTTAAATTTCAAATACAACTTGTTCACGGCTGGTATTTAAAGATGCAATTAACTTTTGTGTGTTAACCTTGAATCCTCCAACCTTACTCTATTGCTTATTAGTTCCAGGAGGTTTTTTGATTCAAACTTTCTACATAAACAATCATGTCATTTGCTAGCAAAGACAATTTTATTTCTTCCATCCCAACCAGTATACCTTTTATTTTATTTTCTTGTCTTATTGCATTAGTTAGGCCTTTCGTTATGATGTTGAAACGGAGTGCTGAGAAGGGGCATCCTTGCCTTGCTCCCAATCTTAGTGGGAAAGCTTCTGGTTTCTCACCATTAATTATGATGTTGACTGTAGAGTTTTTGTAGATGTTCTTTATCAAGTAGAGGAAGCTCCTCCCTATTTCTGGTTTACTGGGAGTTTTTATCATGAATGGATGTTGGATTTTGTCAAATGCTTTTTCTGTACCTATTGATACGATCTCATGATTTTTCTTATTTAGCCTATTGATGTGAGGATTACATTAATTGATTTTTGAAAACTGAACCAGTCTTATATACTTGGGATAAATCTCACTTGGTCATAATATATAATTCTTTTTATACATTGTTCAATTGAGTTTGCTAGTATTTTGTTGAGAATTTTTGCATATATGTTCATGAGATATATTGGTTTGTAGTTTTCTTTTCTTTTTTTAGAGACAGGGTGTCACTATGTTGTGCAGGCTGGTCTTGAACTCCTGGTCTCAAGCAATCCTCCTGCCTTGGCCTCCCAGAGTGCTAGGAGTACAGACATGAGCCACTGCGCCTGGCCCACCCCCTTGGATTTTTGAACTGTTAGTCTTGTCCATACCTAGTCTCCAGTCGATTATGGTTGAGGTTTTCCTACCCTAGCACTAGTTCCTGCAGAGGTTTCTGCTCCAGTATGTTGTGATTCTCTGTATTCCCCTGCCTCACCAATTTTGGGGACAGCAGTTTACCCTGTGATCTCACTTCTCTTACATATCCAAGAACAGCTGTTGATTTTTCAGTTTGTTCAGCTTTTTATTTGTTAAGATAGAGTAGTGACTTCCAACCTCCTTAATTGCAGAACCAGAAACTGGACCCTTCTCTGGCTTTATTTGAACATTTTATATGATTCTATGTCCTCTTCTCTCTTAGCATGTTAATTATACTTCTTTTAAAACAAATTTTTTGGCTGAGTGAGGTGGCTCATCCCTGTAATACTAGCACTCTGGGAGGCTGAGGCAGGAGGATCGCTTGAGGCCAGGAGTTTGAGGTTGCTGTGAGCTAGGCTGACGCCATGGCACTTTAGCCCAGGCAATAAAGTGAGACTCTGTCTCAAAAAAAAAAAAAATTAGCAATTGCCCTGGAGTCTGTAACATATATTTACAACTAATCTAAATCTACTTTCAAATAACACTATACACTTCATAGGTAGTACAGGTACCTTATAATAGAGTATTCCAAATTCCTCCTTCCTAATCCCTTATAACATTACTGTCATTCATTTCACTTATCCATACACTATAATTTCCAAATACATTGTTGCTAATACTACTTTGAACAGTTATCTATTAGATCAATAAAGAATAAAATGAAAAATTTATCTTTATTCCTTCTCTAATGCTCTTCCTTTCTTTATGTAGATCCAAGTTTCTGACCTATATTATTTTTCTTCTTTCTGGAGAACATCTTTTAACATTTCTTGCAAAGCAGGCCTACTGGAAACAAATTTCCTCGGTTTTTGTTTGTCTGGGAAAGTCTATTTCTCCTTCTTCTTTTTTTTTTTTGAGTTAGGTTCTTGCTCTGTTGCCCAGGCCGCAGGGCAGTGGCATCATCATAGCTCACAGCAACCTCAAAGTTCTGGGCTAAAGCGATCCTCCTGCCTTAGCCTCACCAGTAGCTGGGACTACCGGTGCACACCACCCCACTGGCTATTTTTTTTATTTTTGTAGAGACAGGGTCTCGCTATGTTGCCCAGCCTGGTCTCAAACTCCTGACCTCAAGTGATCCTCCTACCTCAGTCTCCCAAAGTGCTAGGATTATAGGCATGAGCCACCACACCTGGTCCCGCAATAAATCTTACCTGTAGAGAAGACATATTAGAGTGAGAACAAAGCTGTAATTGGTAAAGAAGCAGCTGTCACTCACATAAGCTGGGAGTGGAGGGTTTGGCATTTTGTGAGTCGCATAGTGACCTTGTCTTTGTGCTTAGTATGAAGTGACTATTTTATCTTTCTTTTTTGTTTAATTGTGAAATGAAGTTTATTGAGGAAGTACAAGATAGATTTATAGAGCAAGAGGTAGATATAGGTTTACAGAGTAAGAGCAAGATATGTTCACCACAGAACAACAAACAGACCCCTCTGTCGTAACAAAAGAGTTCTGGTAATGGTCTGGAGTCTTGTTTTAGTGTCTGGATTGGGCCCTCCTTGTGGTTCAGACATGACCACTGAATCACTTTGATGGATAGTTAATGGCATGATAATTAGCCTTAGGTTATTCTAGGTCACTTTCCAAATCCTGTTGTGCCTGGGCTGCCTGGCCCGTGGGTTGGGGATTCCCTACATTCTTTTGCAGATTAGCAGGAGTTCTTCCTTCCCCCAGGTGTGGCAGTTGCTTGGGGCAGGATTAAGGTGTCCTTCTTCCTAGATGGGGCAATTGCTACAGGCAGCACAAGTCAAGGCACTCACCTTTGTCCCTAGGAGAGTCTGGAAGGTCCCTTGCTGTCTACCTAACATTTCCCCACTCTCTATTCCAGAGGCCCAGATCCTTGCGTAGAGGCATTGACTCATCTGGCTGCTTCCTGCTGAGTCGGTACAATGATTCCTATTAGGGTGGCCTCTTGCAGGTTCTCTGGGGGTCTGTCCAGGGGACTACGGTATATGTCCTTGGTAGATGGCTGTAGTCGCAGGTGTGAGGAGGAGGTAGGTGCTGAGGCTAGTAGAGAACGTAGCACCATTTGTAGCTTGATGGCCTCAAAGGCATCCACCAGGGTCTAGAGATCTTGCCTCGCACCTAGAAATTGGAGGTGGACTCTAGGATAGCATTGATGTTATCCTGAA